GGTACCTTTTGGGGGTCCCCATACTTGAGGTTCATGGTACATTGGGGCCTCTCAGGACATGTTCATCCTAGTCCAGCCCAAACCCATGAGCAGAGTCCAATCGCCCGCCATCCTTTAAGCTGGAGCCCCTTAGGCTAGGGTAGCCAGAACTGGAGCTGATGGCGAGCCTGGGTTCAAAAGCAAGGGGATGGCTCCAGGACATGCGAGTGCAAGGTTTGGTTCTGCTTGCCCTGGCTCTGGTGTTGCTGCTGCTGCAGTGCAGCATTTCCTGGGCATTGCCGTGTCTCTGTGAGCTCGTGCTCTTCCGTTTTGTGCCCCAGCGACGCGCCTGGGTGGACATGGCTCTGGTGGTCCTGCCTTGCATACTTTTCTTAGCATATCTGCTCTTTGCCAGTGTGCAAGGGGGCATCAATGGGGATGTGGCTGCAGACATGTTTTTCATGGTCGTGGCTGTGGCGCTTGTGATTGGTCAGCGCTGTGCAACGCAGAAAGAAGAAGTCTTGGAGCTGCCCCAGGGACAGGAGGTGCCACGTAAAACAAGCAACAGCCAATGCTGCTGCGCATGCTGCAGCTGCTGTGGAGTGCTCCTGTGTATATCGCTGCTAGCCCAGGCTGTTGGCATGATGGTGTATTTGGCGAACACCCCTAGACCTTCTTACACAGCGACTTCCATCGCGTACTGGTGCGAGGGCGAGCCAAACAACTCTCTGGTCGTTCTGGAGCCTGGCTATTTGGCATCTCCAGGGTCGCTGTTCCATGTGCAGAAGGTCTTGTCACAGAGCACCCGCGTTTGCACCTATGATCCAGTTGGCACCGGCTTCAGTGGCGGCCACAACCCGAGCTTCCAAACCGACGCCCTAGCCATGAAGGACCCTTCCATGCAATAATAGTTCCCCCTCACAGCTACCTAGAAGTGCTTACAATCCAAGCCTTGTGCAGTGTTAAGCCATGGTAGCTCTGCAAGCTGTGAGGATGTGGTGGATGCCGAGCTGGCCCAGCACGCCGGCAGTGACTCGTGGCTCGTGGTGGTTGGAGGCCACTCTCGCAGGCACCTGACAGGCTGCCGCTTCTGGATGGATTATGTCAACTTGTACGGCAGGCTTTCCCTGCTGGCGCTCGATGGAAGCTGGTGCGGCCAGACTGGCTGTGGCTACTGTGAAAATTTCGGAGGCATTTTCGCCGCCGTGCGGATTGTCGCAGCTCCAGTTCTGACGTTGCTGTCTGGGTATCTTCGCCTGGTCATGGCGTTTCTGCAGGATCCGCTGATGCAGGCCATGGCGAGTGGGCCAGACCAAATGCCGGACTACCCCCAAAAGGCTGTGCTTCAGTTGTCAGAGCCCTACTTTTGGCCAAAGCTGTGGCGCAGTCAAAGCTTGCGAGGCGATGCTTGGCTCAATGCCTATGACGGGCCATCGTGGTCGCAATGTTCAGAACTGCAGTTGACGGCTACCTCAATGTCATCGAGCTCGCCCCATCATCTCTACATTGATGCTGAAAGCATTTGCACCACGAATCCATGGGCCTGTGCAGAGCACATGTCCCTCATCTCTAGCAGCTGGTTCGCAGATTTGGCAGGTGCCAGGGCTGCCAGCTTTGTCGCCGGCTGAAGGTTGGTGACATCCCTTTTGCTTGAAGCAGTAGCAAACGCGTTCAAAAGTCAAACAGTTCTCGCCTTGTAGATGTAGCCAAGCAGATCAAAGTTTCGTCAAAGACTTTGGCAGCCAACGCGTTTCCAGATACTTTACAAGCTTCTTTTGGTCAAGCGCGCTACCTTGAGCGGGGTCCAGTTGTTGTCAGCTTCTTAAGCATCCAGATCCAGCGACTTTCACAGAGGTCCCGGGGCGCCCGGAGTGGATGGTAGCAAGAGCACAGTGCTTCGGCGGAACCATGGGTTGTTCTGGGACTTCCTCCGGCGTCGGGCGTGATATCAGGTATGCTGGGCATGGTGCGCATGGCAGTTTCCGGACTAGGGTTGAGCTTGGCAGCAGTCTTCAGTCCTGCTGGTATGAGCAGTTCCATTTCGGCAAAACCCTAGACCCTAAACCCTGTAAAAACAATTATATCCCCTATATAGAGGCTCCAGACTCCCAGAGGTGCATCCCAGCAGCCTCAGGAGGTGTGGACTCTGTGGCCTGCTTAAAAGCCAAGGGGCCGTCCTGTACAGCCAGCATGCTTTCTGGAATCGGTTTGAGGATTGTTCTTGAGTGAAGCATACAAAGCAAGTCTTGCAGGAGTCATGCCCTGTAAAGATTTGCATGCTTGCTGCCCAGTTAAATCTCAGAGGTAGGCGACGCCGAAGTGCGCGGGCTGTGTGGGACTTGACAAGACAGCCTAGGAGCAAAGAGGACAGCACAGAAGGATTGCTGTAGAAGAACCATTGCTTCGAGGATACTTGCCTGGGATGGGTATGGAAGATAATCTGCCTTGCTTCTCAGTGTATGAAACAGTCCAGGCTTAGCTAAAGGAATGTACCCCAAAAGAGATTGCCAAGCCAAAAGACTCCTGAACGTTTGTTGTATCTCCTCCCCTAATATGAAAGCCCAACTCCCTTAGAAATATTCATTAGATTTTCCCAATGCCTTGCAGTATGCCATACCGGGAACGTTGAATTTTACGGGGCGGGGTGCGGGTTTAATGTCAGGGCGAGGGGAGGCAGCACTTCTCTAACAACTGATTGTCCTGAGTTCTTGGTCTATGAGCCCAGGCAAAGGCTCCGCCAACCTTCCTCAACCGCATCAACGAGGCTGCTGCGGGACTTGCAAGACAGACACTCTATCTTCCTCAAACTCTACTATTTCAGCTGCTACCATGATCCTCATCATCACCATCACCACCACCAC